CCTCTACAAGTCTAACACTGACCTGGAATTATTGATCAAAGAAACCCTCCACATCAAACAGCACTCTCCAACTCTGAACAACATGCAGTCTTCATTTAAATTATACATTTTTTAATATGTTTGTATTACTGATTTTTCGTTTTTTTTCTTTTCGTTGTGTTTTCTTGCTGTAGTTTCTCCCCTTGATTACTGTTTAGTGTTTTATTTGTTTAATTATCATTATATTTAGCAACTGTACTTTGAAAATGTATAAAGGCTGATGTAAATTCATTTTATTCTGCTTTAGATACTGAAGATGGAATCTGATAGAAATGTTTATCCATGTCCCCTTTTTGTCAATAAACAATGTTGTATATCATAAATGTCGTAATCTTGTTTATAATTAATGAAATTATAACCAACTTAATCTAGATATTCTAAACTGATTGATTTATATTGTTATTATCATGCTGATATTATACAATGTCTACAGTTCAGAGTTTTAAGAACAGTATATACTCTCTCCCCAAATTTCCAATTGCACTGCATGTCTTTACATTGAGCTTTATTAAAGGTTTTGCAGGTTACTGAATTCTTCAGACTACTGAAAACTGAATATTTTGTGATATAATCTGTATATCACTCTACCTTATTATTATTTAATATAAACAAATAGTCCTTGATAAAGCTTGGTCAAATATACTACACAAATCAATAAGCAAATAAACATAATCACTAACATACTTACAAAATAATAGTAAATGACAGCTTTCTCAATTAGTGCAAGTCAATAACAATTTTCCAAAAACATAACATCACAGCAAAGAAGCTAACATGAATATTTTAACTCTTATGTTAACAGTGTGTGCAAGACACCTCACCTGACAAACGTGACAGCATCCTTAGTCTAGATTAGTATTTTTTTCATTAGATGAAATTTGACAAAGGAATAACCTCTTCAGTGTCAACATTTCTCAATAGATAAAATTTGATAGTAGAATAACCTCTTTAGTGTTTACATTAACAGTTGTCATTCAACAAAATATGACAGTAGAATAATTCTTCAGTTTCAACATTTCTCAATAGATAAAATCTGATAGTAGAATAACCCCTTTAGTGTTTACATTAACAGTTCTCATTCAACAGAATATGACATTAGAATAATACTTCAATGGCCACAGTGAATCTTTCTCATTACATTAATTTCTGACATTGTTCACAAACTAATATTTTTCCACATAGGAAAAGACAAATTACTTTTTCTACACATTTATATTAGGAAAAAAAAAATATTCATTTTGAAGCTTGAAATATGTTTACAAACGAATCATGAAAAAAAAACTTGGATTTTTTTTTAAATTTTCCATTTCAAAACCAAACAATTTTTTCAGTGTATATTTCAAAAACAGAACAAAATGCATTCCTGCACTTTTCACTGAATAAAATTGTTATTTAGTAAAACATTTAATAAGTTTGTTTAATTTTACAATACATGCAGTTAAAGAAAGTTTTTCTTTAATATAATGACAAGCTTTGGTTTTTAATTTGACCTCCAAGTGTAAACCAAGGTTGAACTTAAAACTGACAACAAATATAATAAGTACCCAAGTATGTATTTAAGTGAAATTGTTATTTTTCATAGAATACATTTATTATTTCAATTCATACAAAAATAGACTAGATATGGAAGAAACAGCCTTAGCAATTCCTTTATGAAAAAGGTTTGTGCTGACTTAAAAATTCATGATCAGTCCTCTTTATGCCCACCTTGCTCGCTGTAGAGTAATTTGATTCAGTAGTGTTCGGGATAAATACATTGCAAACAGCTGTAAAATAAAGAATCATTTGAAAATTTGAATGTTCTACACTCATTGCTGCTTCAATATTACAAAAACCTAAAATACTGTCCTATAAACAATTTATATCTCTACCATAAAAAATCTTGGACAATTATTTTCGTGTCTATGAGGTTGATTAAAGCTAATTCTACAAAACACATAATATAAGCACATGCTAGCTGTATATCAAATGTTCTGGTTGCTTTTATAATTGTTTCTAGTAATTAACATTCAGTAATACTAAAAAATTCTGTACATATATATATATACACAAAAAAATTTATTTATACTCATGCAACACATGAAATATATCAATATCAAAAATATTTTGTCAAAAATGACAGAATACAAATAAGACTAACAATAAATAAACTGATTAAGAATAGTACAGAACTTTCAGAAAGTCTGTTACAGGACACAAGTGTAAGACAGTACCTCATCAGAATGCAAGTGATATATTAAAATACATGACAAAGAAATGTTTCTAAGTCACTTGCCAGTTAATTTTAAATTTGTGTGCGTGTTCCACCACAGTGAGTTTCTCATTAATTCATGTATTTTTTATTTTTGACTAAGAACAAGTATTAACATCACTTTGACTGATTATTTGACAATGTGTAAATTACAATAAATTTCAGATCATGTATTTGCAGACAAGAAATTGTCAACTTAACAAAATGTTAAGAGATATAGTTATATTTTCACAGTTTTAATTAACAGAATCATCACATAAAGACATCATAGTCTATAGAGAAATAAACAAAAAAGCACTAACTATTTTTTACATGGTACAGTGATAATGACCAGCCAGTTAAACTAGTATTGGTACTGGTCAGCTGCATAAAGTGTTACTAGGTATAGAGCCAGCTAAACTAGTAGTGGTACTGGTCACTTATGCAGCTAGCTGGCTCTATACCTAGTAACACTTCATGCAGCTGACCAGTACCACTACTAGTTTAGCTGGCTCTATACCTAGTAACAAACTAGTAGTGGTACTGGTCAGCTGCATGAAGTGTGTTACTAGGTATAGAGCCAGCTAAACTAGTAGTGGTACTGGTCAGCTGCATGAAGTGTTACTAGGTATAGAGCCAGCTAAACTAGTAGTGGCACTGGCCAGCTGCATGAAGTGTTACTAGGTATAGAGCCAGCTAAACTAGTAGTGGCAGTGGTCAGCTGCATGAAGTGTTACAACCATCTAAGCAAAGACTGTAATGAAAAACTCAATATCAAACACTTCAAAATAACAGACTCAGCAAAAGAAAGACGATTGGACACTAAGGAAAAAAAGAAAGCGCTCCTAATCTGAAACTTAAAACCAAAGCTGAACAACCAACTAGCAATAGCATTGTATCTCCAACTGTGATAAACTTATCATGTCTGAGACGGGCAAACAGTAATTAATAGCATTAACTGCAATATCAAGAGCAATTTTGTTTAAATTTCTTTGTGTGACTCATATGTGTATTAGAGACCCTGCAGTGAACAAAATCATGATCCCACGAGCAATTTGGTGAGTAAATAGTTTAGAGAAATGTCTTTAAAAAGCCAATGGGATTTACATTGACTCCATCATTAATTCTGAGGTTAATATAAAAAAAATTCAAGAAACAACAGATAACTTTAACTAGCATTTCTCCCAGTCCTTTTTAAGTCAGTAAATTCCTACCTGAACCAAAGCAACTCCCAGGCAGATACCTGCTACAAGGTACAAGTTTCCCTTCACAAATTCCATCAGACCTTCTACACAACCTCTTGTATAAATCTTCTCATTTAGTGCAGTCTGTGACTAATAAATTGCACTAATTGTATTTACCATCATTTGTTCTCATTTGTTAGAATACTGTATACTTTAAAGGACTTAATATCAATTATACAGTTAAGATATTTCTCTACCCATTTCTTAAAACTAAAAATAGCAACATATTAACAAATAAATTTAGACAAAAAATATGAAGTTTCAGCTCAATCAGTCAATAGATCCATCAAATACAAATTTGTTTTTATTATGTAATTTATATTTAATGACTAATGTTGTATGTATAATAATAAGAAATACTTATCTCTGCATTGTGTAAGTTAATATTTTAACACTGAAAATGGTGATAAGCTAAAGTAAATAAATGAAACATAAAACTGACAATAAAAGTCCTAAAATAACAATAATAAAAATAGGCTAGAGATTCTAATAGAAATACCATATTACATGCTGCTGCAGTTTAGCATTAAATTTTTCACTAAGAGACTACTTTATAATTGAAAGTTGAGCCCATTCCAAATCTGAAGTTAACCAGCCAAAAAAAATTTATGTTACAGACAGGACCAGGAATCGAATGTGTCACCAAAATTTTTTCTTCTTCCTTTTATGGGTGTACAAGTAATCGTGAAAAAATTAACTATCATTCTATCTTCCTAAGAGAGTTTTCTGTTCCTCATTTAATTATTTCAGTATCCCTTTATGGAGTGTCATTGATATTCTTTGGTTTTTTTCTTTCTCACTGTGGAAATACTTAACCAAATTACATGAAATTTAATACAAAGTTACTGAATAATATGTAGTTTTCTCTTGAAAAAATTCTTATTATTTATTACATTGTGAAGTTTACAAAATAAGAATCTGAGTGGTCAGAATATTTTGCTGTCACCTACCATACTTAGTACACCTAACTAAGCTTACCTGAAGTCTTGGCATACAAGAAAGTTTCTGTAGCTTTCAAACAGATATGGCTTAACACAAACATTTTCTATGATGAAAGGAACATCTAAATAAAATATAAAGTTCCTTACATCTGTGATTTATTTTAAAGTCCTCTAAACTTCTCATTACATTCCTGTGTTCATCTCTGTAAGAGCTTCAAGCAGTCACTTACCCTTGAAACCTTAAATTAATGCCCACACCATTTTACTCTATAACTGCATTAACAGTTTACAACCTGCTGTACTCAGTGGTACTTAAACTTTGTTTGCAGCTATTTTGAAGTCTGTGCATCATTAATGATTGTTCAGATCACATGTTGTGACATCACAAATGGGTGGGAATGAAGGCCTGTAATAAGATCTCAAACAGAAAAGAAAAATCACAAAAGAAACAAGGCATAGTTAATTGTATTCTATTGGAATGACACTTTTTAGTTCCTAGACAATAAAACCTATGTTTTAGGCTGACAGAAGTTTTTCTGTGTGTGAACTTGCCTTGAGTTAGAATTATTATTTTTACTTAGATATTGAAGTTTGATATGTAGATGTGCACTCGATACCTGAAAGAAGCTGTAGTCAGAAAAAGGTTAAATTAAAATGTCAAACTTTCTGTCATTATGGTAAGTTATATTGAATTGACCCAGTGTGAAAAAAGCTACTGAAGATACTTCTGCTTGTTCATGTGTATGCCACAATTAATTAAGTGTGGTAGTACTTAATAGTAGGGATCATCATGAAAAATAGTGGCCTTAAAAATTGCCCCTTTAAAACAACAAAAAGTAGGATAAAGAAGGGATAAAATTCTTTAGATTTTAAGTAACTCAGTTTTTGTAGTTATAACTTTCTATATCACTATTGGTAGGTTATGTATATATTGATCCCAACTTGTCTATAAAATGTAAACACTTTTTATCATACTCATATATGTAAGTTGCAATGTATTACAAGTACAGTACGTGTACATTGATTGAATGAATGCTGCATGTTAAATTCTAGTACAAATACACCCTTCAATTAACTTTCACTACAGGCTCAGTCACATTCATGATCCCAAATTGAAAAGTTTTCATACTATATATGCATTGTTTATCTTCAAAAAAGTTCTCAAGCTTTCAGTAATCATTAAGTCTTTTCTAGACAAAAAAAAAAATCTGAATTTTTACTAAAGTATTTTCACTAAGAATTTCTCCATGAATATATGGATTCAAATTGTAAACTGCTGTGAGAACAAAGTGATTTTCATATTAAGATTAAAAATACTTTTCTTCATCTGAAAAATCTCAAATTTCATTCACATATTCTCTAAACCTTCTAAATAAATTTGAAACTTTTTTTTTCAGTAAAACATTGTTATCTTTTCCATCCTAACTATGTAAAAGGTTGGTCAATATGACCAACCTCGTAACCACCTAAAAACAAAACAAAATTACCCATTTTGTCTTTCTAGAATGACTTCCAATTGTAACATGAAACTAAATTTGTTTATCTTAAATAGCTTTAAACTCATAAAAGTATACACCTGTTTATACTTAAATTTTATTGTTTTATTACTCTTTGAACCATATCTAACTAATATTCCTGCCACAAAAGATATAAATGATTTGGCAAATGCACAGCTAAAGTTACTTCTTGAATTTCAGGGCTACTCGCAACTAGTTTGCAAGCATACCTCGTGAAAATTTTTATTATCATCTTTTATCTCACCTAATCTAACCTTATCTAGCTTTAAAAGTTTATAATTTTTATATTTTAGTTACTTTTATTAATAAATAAAGAATACACATGAAAAACAAGAAATAAATACTTACCTGGGTCTTTTTTTTCCCCTCAACTGTCGAGGAAATTTAACCCTACTTTTTTATACTAATTGTACTATTATACTAAATAATTTCTTAACTAGATGATGGAGCAAGGAACACAAAATAATAACATGCAAAAGCAGACTATTTCATAGAACTATCACAATTTTTCTGGTTTTTTAACTATGTAAAAAGAGCCATTAAAAATTCAGCTAAACTCTGTCGATGAGTTTCCATGGGAATAGAGTTTGAACTGGAAACAAAATATAAAATATACAATTCTTTGTACAGCAAACATAATATAATACATCATTTGGTAGATTAAAACCTTGGCTTTCCTTTGGTTATAAATAATGTAGTATTAAACATAAGAGAGAACTATTAGAAGTTTGTGAAAGAGAGGATGTGACAAGTAGGAATGACAAGAGGGGTCTGATTTTCTAGTTTATGGCTCTGTAACCAAATAATATTGAAATCTAAATTCGATGACGAGGAACCCACTTTGAGACTAATAATGGCTGGAGACGGCTTAAATGGGTAA